TCTGATAATGACAAAGGTAGCCTATATCCACGAAATAGACTGATCCTTGAGGGATCAGTAGCTCATTACAGAGGAATCGGTACCTTATAGGTGCCGGAGAGGTATGGAACCACTATCGATGACCTCACGACTCTCACAACCACTATAATACGTCATCCCGATGACTTTTATCCCGATAGCTAGGTTATTCTATCACACGAGCCTTGCCATGTCTAAGCAAACATAATAAATATAATAAAAGATTTATTATTAATAAAAAATCTAATATTATCTGAAGCCCATACAGCATTAAAAATAGTAAGAGAAAAATAAATAAATTATAAATAAAAAAATAAATAAGCCCAGGAGCCTGAGGCCCCTAAGAAAATAAAAATAAATATAATTATCTCTCTTAGACATGGCAAACGGGCGAGCCGGGCGAGCTTTAGAGGGTCAGGGATCCGCCCGTTCAAGCTTCAAGCTCTGATTGGCCAGGCTCAGCTCGGGGCCAGAATTTTCTGATTAGCTAGGCTCACCTGTTAAGCCTATTTCAAGCTTATTATATATTTCAGAACAGGAAATCCTTCCTAATTAAATTTAGTTTTAAACTAATCTAGTTAGTTTAATTTACCTAAAATTTTTAATTTTAATAGTTTTACATCAATAGACATCCTATTAATAAAATATATATCTTTGAATATAATCTGACTTAAGCTAGAACTAGCCCAATTAGAAAGCTGAAAAAATATTAAAAAATATTAAAAATATCTATTTACTGTACTGATTCACTATGTCCAATTATTTTTTGAAAATATTGAAAATTGAATGAATTATTTGATAAAAATGATTTGTTTTGATTTAACGCGTAGCGTGTTTTTATGTATAGGATTAAACTGGGTTCAAGTGGGGCTTTAAAATATCAGAACCAATAGAAATACTTAGCAGGCTTGCCGGGTAGCTCGAAGCTTGGCGGGCGGGCTCAGACTAGCTGTTTTTAGGCTCGCGAGTCTTAGTCAGCAAGCTCGGGGTCGTCTTGGCACGAGCCGAGCCGGGCGATCCTGAGCCTTTCGGGCGAGCCTTGCCATGTCTAATCTCTCTAGTAGAAAACAATAATAAGATTAAAGATAGAAAGCAGCAGTAATAATAAAAATATGAGTTTTATAAAATTAAGACATTTAAATTCAGGCTGGATTAGTATAATAGATATAAAATAAAAATAATAATTAAGAAAAATAATAGAAACATTTACTAGCAATACTAAATTAGAATAGATTAAATAAGTCTTTTAAATAAGATCTATATCTCATTATAATTTTAAAGTATTAATAGACTCTGAAAACACATGAAGACTAATATAAATAAAATCTATATTTAAAACTACTTTACTAGAATATTTACTAAGAAAATCTCTGACCTAGAGATATCTAAATAAATATTAATAATCTTTTTTTAAGAATAGAATTTTTTTTAACTTAGTACTGAGTAACTTATCCAGCAGCTCTAAATCTAATATTATAACTTAATCCAGAAAGTACAGGACTAATAATATAAAAAATAATATATAAATTTATTATATTTAAGTAAGCTATATAACCAGAAATATTTTTTATAATATTAATAAATAAAAAATCACTCCAAATTATCCAGTGTAATATAAACAAATCAAAGAATAAAATAATAATATACTTTTTAATAAAATTCTAATATAACCACAGTAGACATCATTATAATCTAAAAATTATAAAAAAATATATATATATATACTATATATAGTCTGATTTAGGGTTACTAATTATTATATCCAGTAGCTACAGCAGAAAGCAGAATACATATATATTTATTTATTTTTAAAAAATTAATAAAAATAAATAATAGTATATAAAATATTTATATAATATATAAGAACTTTATTTCTACAGCAAATACAGCTAGATTCTATATTTATTAAATATATATAACAGTAACAGTATATCTAATAATAATAATAATAAAACCCTAAAACCCATCTAAAATCCCTAATGATCTTCCAGATAATCAAACTAAAAGCATATTTCAATCTAGTTGTGATACCTTCAATCAGGTAGTTATTGTTCTCCTTTTACTGAAAGTTCAATTACTGATAGCACCCGATAGACTGATCCGACAAATGGCCCTCCGAACTTCTGCTCGGCCGCAGATACCGATTATGTCTACTCCGATGAGCTTGACTCTGACGACAATCCGGCCGACTTCGTCGAGCTTTATTGGTATGAGGATGGCTGTTTCACTATTCCCAATACCGGAAACCCGGACCTCATGAAACGTTGGTATGCATTGTACGACAAGGTCACCGAAGGTGAAGGGTTGAAACGTTCAGCCGAATTGTCATCAGAGAATGAACGTGAAGATTCCCGAAGGATATGTGTAGATGATGGCTGCTTCAATATTCCCAGGTCAGAGCATGATGATTTTCAAGAACTCCTATGGTCAGTCGGGAACTTCACACAGAGTTCATATGGAGACGTCCTCGGAGAATTGGTCCCTCGTGGGACGGTGGCCAAGATCTGCAAAAACAAGAAACAAATCAGCAAATTTACCGCTAAGGACTACAACCCCGTCGGTGTATTGTCAAATTCACGTCAATTATTTGGCGTGGTGAAGTCTGGAGCAAAGGCTGCCATCTGCAACGGACTGCCCATCGTTCCGGGCAAAAGAGTTCTTGGTACCGATTACATCGTGGAGCATGTCACAGAGCTTCAAACTCCGGCTCAGTTCACTACCAGCATGCTTTCAGGAAAACTGCCTAGTGGGGCTGTCGCACCAGGAGCAGCATCGAACTATGATTGGACTCAGGTATTCTCTCAGAGTGGTTACTTCTTTCAAACTTGGAGTCAGCTTGGAATTCTCCAACCGAGCGGCTTGAGTGGAAGTACTCCTGCGGAATCCGTGGCAATTCCTTTGGGCAGTACCAATGATATTAACAACTTCCAAATTTTGGAGGCTCCTACAAACGGGCTGAAAGCTGCGGTATGTGATTATCCTCGAGATGGGGGTCTTCTCAAGGCTTCCGATAAGTCGAATTCAGTTATTTTAACGTTATTATTATGTGTCCGGCTAACAAATCATATATACGCAGGCATGGCAACTGTTCAAAAACATCGTCTCAGAAGATAGGTTTGGTAAACAGAGCCCCGGGGGGAAAATCGACTTTATCAATCGCGTAAGATACTCAATATACCCTCCAGAGCTTCAAATTTTCTTTTTTAATCTCATCACTTTTTCTAATATCTAACGATCAGCCAGCTTTATAAAACCCTTCCAGGATATCTTAACCATGCTGATGTAGGTGAAAGTCCGGCTACATTGAAGCCTCCCGAATGTGGAAAACTGCTCGAATAGTATCTGATTCATTCCAATTTAGGTCCAAGACTCCTTGGAGTACGGCTATAACGCAATCAAGACCGCTATGGAAGCACTTGACCTAGCTGCACAGAACAACGCCAACGTGTCACCAATCCCAGGCTCGTCGTTTGCTCTGGCTTGGAGAGCATACGCTTCGGACTTCTTCACATAAATGGAAGGTAACCTACAGGTCTTTGTCAGAGCGCGAATCAACGAGGTTTTACCTTATTGGAGCTCGAGTGCGGCGATTAAGCTGTATACCAAGGCCGGCGCAGCGGCAATTGTCAAAACTCTGAACTCAAAGCTGTCTAGCCTCTCCACAGACGTTGTCATCAACAGTACCTTTATGACGTGATCTGGAGAATTTAAAATGTGTCATAAGTTTCAAACTTGAACTTCACTAGGTTGATGACGATGGAAGAACCTGTTCGAAATTTTAAAGTTTTGCCATGAGAATTTTGAATGTCACAAGGGAGCCGGAACGGTGCAAAATGCGCTTAGACCTGATAAATATATATCTGATCCTTATATCAATTGAATTTACATTCTACAGTTTCGCCCTTTGCTATTCCGAATCGTGATTCATCGTGAGAACGCCCTGATCATTTGATAAGGTCTTGCACATGTAGGAAACCTCTTTTTTTTGTGTAAACTGCGGCGTATCGTAGGTTGGCTATACAGACATCAAAGGAGTTCTATCTTGTTCCCCTCCTTCCTCGCTTTCGCCTGGTACTGATCGACCCACTTAGAGTTTCCAGACAGCCGCCGTAGTCACTGTAAAGAATAAGCTAGTCTATAGGAATGGAAGATCCATCTAAATCCTGCCTATTGTATCCCCAATTGGAAAAGATTAGCAAGTAATAGGCTAGTAATAAAAGACTTTGATTGACTGGAAATCACAAGAGCTAAATAAAAAATGTTAACATGATCCAGCAGTATAAGGATAATAGCTAGACTATAAGAGTTGACCGGAAAAGCGGACCCTAATACTATAATTACTAATCTAGTAATTAAAAGTTCTGTTTGTATGCCTAGAGCTATTAGTATAAACCTGATTATATCAAGTATACCAGAAATCTCGCTCTATGTGTGATGATAATGATGATAATAATAATAAATTTATTTATTTAATATAGCTTGCTCTAATATATAATGCTATGCGGAAGTGCTGTCAGACCTACTAACAACTCTAAAGTGGTCCCAGCCCACTGAACAGCCATCTCATAGGACTTGCTGGGCAGGCCCTACTGACTAGCCTTTAAAGAAAAGAATAAAACTCAGTTATATAAGTATAATCAATAAAGGAAAAGCAAACAAGCATCATCTTCTTTCCTAATAATCCTGAGGAACCTCATACCACCACTCCCCTCTAACACTATTATTTACATAGCTATATTAGCTGTTGACTGCTGCTATTTTGTGCTTACTTGCTTCAAGGAGATATAATAGACCTGGTATTGTACTCCTTATGAGCTCTATCCTACTCCTCCCGTCACACTGTTCTAAGAAGTTTATTTTTCGTTGGTCTCTTCTACCCCGAGACCTAAGGAGTCAACTGCTTGGAATTCTTCCAAGAGTTTCATCTATATCATAAATTCGGCCATAATTGTGCGGGCCTCCGGACACACTAGAAGCTTGTCAAGATAAAGAGCGACTCCACGCTCTGATAGTATGTTTCTCATCCAGTAACACTTGTCTTAAATAGGGGGCATTTAAGCAAAATGTGGCTAACTGTCTAGATTCCCAAATTACAGCCGTATCTTGCCGAAGCGCACAGGTTAATCTGATGCAGGTAGGCTTCAAGACTAATCTATCCAGTGTAATAGGCTCGTCGGAGACAGCTAGTGTAGGTTTCCATAAGTATTACTGAATATGCTGAATGCACGGTTATGGTTCTCTAACTTGGAGCTGGAAGAACTGTAGACTAATATTTCCGAGTCCTTGAATATATCCTTAATATACTCAGGCCAATGGACAATCTGAAAATGAGCCTTTATTTGCAAGTCAGATGCTGTGGCCTGGTAGCCTTGTGGATTAGATAAGTTACTAGTAGTGTGGTTATACTAATCTATTTCTAGTCTACCACATGAAGTAGCGAGGAGACATACATTTTCTATATCCCAAATATGAATTATACGGCCCTTACAGGCTCTGACAAGGACACGAAATCGAATTTAGGATCCATGAGACGTTAAACAAGGTCCCCGTGGCGGCCGAGGTCTTCTTCAAACCAAATTAGAAGCAATGCAGGTCATGTATGTAGACGTTGACAATATAGATACTGTAAAAGCACGAACAATCATAGCTGAAAGCCGCATGATAATGGCGATTGAGGAGCACAGTCTCCTGGGCCTAAGTAGAGCAGTATCTACCAAGGCAGAGCACCGCGGCAACACACCGTGGCAACACTCTCTGTTCCCAACGGACAGGCCTTCACGTCTCGAGCACACGGTACCAGCCAGTATGTTACCCACCATTACCCTCTGTTTACCATGACTACCGAGCAAGAAACCCTAGCTAACCTTTTTGGGCGTGCTGGTCACCATCGCCTAGGAACTCATACTCATTAGACCCAAGTCAACGAGACAAAGATATTTCAAATGGCTAATTGATCACTTTCCAAATCGGGCTGGGTCCCTCGATCACGAGGAACGGAACCAACCAACGAGTTCCCCCGAGTCATGAGACAGTTGGTTGTCTCCGCACTCCCCATTCCTGAATAGCACGGAATACCCTGATAATTTACAGAGGAGGATGAATATCAACTCAGTCTGAACTTTTGGTGGTTGCTATTAGTTGCTACCTGTTGCTTGCCGGGCAATCCACTTTGCTGGCATTCCGATCGTTCCATTTTTGCACTCTAGCCGCTCGCGTTCTAGATCTTTTCTGACAATAGGGTAAATAAATTAAAATTCCTGGTTCTTGTATACCGGGACTTCCATTGCTAACTTCCATTGCGAACTTCCACGGCCGTCCTGGATCGGCGGATTGCCAAGACCGCCATGTCCCCGGTTCGGGCGTCTCTCGAGTTTGATTGGTGTATATGAACCAAGCCAGACCGTCGCCAAGACTAAAGCAGACTGGCCAAGAAGCTTTCGCGGGGCCTGGAAACTCTCCCCGTGCGTGTGTGGAGATTCTCTCCACGGGGAAGCGTCGCGTCTCGTACAATGCAGAGGTCAATTGACTTCGAACGTATCGCAACTGAATGATGCAAGAAATGGATGGTAGTTTTGTATCCGCGAAATGCACCGCATTATGGGGCGACGGAATGGATGCATTTAGTGGTGCATTTAGGTCCCAAGAGATGATTAAGCGGTTTAGTGTTTAATACCTGCCATCTAATTGGCCCCAAATTGGTTTTGTGCCCGGAGCAGGCTCCACACAATTTCCCTGGTCGCTTCGCTCTGAAAAGCCTGGATGGTATCTAGGGGCAAGGTCCATTGGAGGGACACGCTCCCACGAAGACTACCCCACTGTGCCCTTTTGCGTTTTCTCTTTGGAAGGTTTGGAGTGTCTCATTCAACCCCACACGGACCGTCTTGGCGACCAGGCCGACTCTGCCCAGTCCGGGCTTAGATTGCGTTTCGGGTGGTAGTTAACGCCCGTCAAGTCCATAATTTGATTGCCGGCAGGCTAGCACAGCCGGCCCCCAAGTGCTTAGCACTGTTATCCCTCTGCACACACTGTTGCAGGCCCCAAGATCTTATTATACATGGGAAGGATCTCTCCCTTCTTTGTTGGACAATCATGAATTCGACAACTCCTTAAGCGACGGCTATATTATTCAAATGTTCCCCCAATGAAAAGGGAGCTGCGTCGCCAGCCATCTCGGTAGGTTTGTTCGCGTCCTCTGGCAGTATTCTCTATGGAAACGACTAGCTAATGAAGATACGAAGCATTCAGAGTTGGCTCTGGAGGATGTTCCAAAGGCCTAATCAGCCAAACGGTCCCCACAATGGAGTTAGCAGCACCGATATCGAAGCACCGGCGAGTTTCTTCGGGGAAACTCAAACTCTCACCCCGCAAGTTGACCAACGGCAGCATGGGGCCAAATGAACTAGTAATTCTGGTATTTTTGAAACTTCTTAAAGCCATGTAGGTTCGTGTCTCAGGCACAAGCACTACTGTAGGACGGCAAATTTTTCCTCGGGAAATCGAAGCCGGCAACGGCTTAGCAAGATGCTAAATCGCCAAAAAAGGCTGCTGTATCTGATCAGTATATTCCCTTTTCTTATCATGGTTTTTATTATTAAGGTTGGGTGGCGAAAACTCGATCTCGTCAAAAGCGCGAGTTGGGTTGGGTTTCGCCGCTTGACCCAGAACCCGCCAAGATAAATAGAATGGGTTGCAGGCGCAGTTATTGCAGCGAGCATACACGCCGAATACCCAGTCGCCAAAATTTTACCTACACCGCGAATCACATCGAGTTCCGGCCTCATCCGGCTTCACCGTGCGAATTGGACGGTGTAACGTCGATAATTTGCCCTACTTCTAGACTAGCTTCTGCCACTACCTTCAAGAGCTGCCAGGGAATCATCCTGGACCGCATTTTTCTAGACCTAACCCTGCCGGTATTTGCACACGGCCAACTTTAACTGGCTTATCCCGCGTCCGGTCTGCCGTAAACATTCGTACCATTCTCCGAGACCCAAATGAGATAAATCAAGTCACTCTTAATGTAGTTTGTCACGAATTGTTACTGCCTTTTTGACTGTGAATAAGCTCCATGCTATATCCTACACCGCACCACGTGGCAGCGGCCTAAGGTCGCTGCGAACGCGACTCGGACAATTATGTGAATTACCATCTGTATTACTACGTCTGTAGTTTCGGTTATATGTGCTCATGGGTCCCTGGCGGGTTAGTAGGTACCCGTACGGCGTCCCGAAAAGCAATATGAGGAAGTCTCCGCACCAACAACTTCCGGAGAAATATCGGTGCTTTACCCAGCTTCCTCACGCGGAGCAAGCCCGAAGAAGGGCCCAAACAAAGCGGGATTGAACACGGTTAGCCGAGAACTCAGTCTGGCTTTACAGAAGCCTAGCAAGTGGGGCCCCGAAGTAGGCACGAGAGAGATTACGACGCAGTTAGACCCTTCGCCACCTCTCCCCCCGGGGAAGTACCATCGCTGCGAGATTAATCGCGCATAGGGTGCCGAGACACCCCGTGGAGAAGGGTTGTCTGGTCCGGGGCAATGGGCTGCTGGCGATACAGGACGAATTACGTATTATTGCCTCGCGGACATATTGACGCTCTCGGCAAGAATGAATTGGAGCTGCTGTGGAATGAACTAACGCGGGATTCTTTGCAACAACGTCATACTCGAGATCCCCTTTGCTAATCTTAATCTTTGCTTTTCTCTAGGCCTAGCGATCTTTGAGAACCTTGAATAAGGCCGAGAAACGCCCAGACGTTTTGACCCCATGGGGAGGCACACTTATATACAAAGTTATCGCTTAGTATTTCTCAAATGCTTCGAGTAGTCTAACCATTACATATTGTGGCAGAGTACTTAGTGCGCTACCAGTTCCGACCGGGCAGTCTTCGGAGAAAATCACACGGGTCCCAGTCAACCCCGGTCCTGCTGAGCCGTCCGACTTGGCAATTGGGTGTGAGTCCGTAAACTTTGCCCATGCACGTTCCTTCCGAGCGTGGGGGCATGGAAGTTTATTTGCTGAATGGACTCAGAGTATTGGGGGCGTCGCTCATTTACTACACAACAGAGTTAGGCATTTTGGGCCTTGAGGGTTTCCGGGAGCTCCGTATTTCTTACGACCCTACTTCTGTTAGCTGTTCAAGGACCCTTAACGTCGAGCCTTCCACGCTCGCTGCGAGTAAAAGAACCTTTTCTCCATGGCGTGGGTTGTTAGGAGCGTTGCGTTTCTTATTCACATAACCCCATAATAATACAAACCTGATACACATTGATGCAACCGCGCTTTTTCCAGAGAAGAAAGAAAAGACTTCATTATCGGATACTCTGGGGACTTGTGGGGTCGAGGAAGTGGGGTCTGGGACATGGAGGCGGGGATTGGAGAGAGGTACAATGGTACGGAGTACAATAATCCGCAGACAAACTTCTCGGCGAAACAGGCATTATATAGAGGGCATTGGGGTCGTCTGACTTACTTTTCTTCCATCCTGACCACACATAATCCTTTTATCATATTGATTCGACAGACTCGAAATGAGCGATAACTATGAGGAAAAGCCTGACGCCATTGGCAAAGAGTTCAGTGATGAACTCACGCCCGAGGAGCGTGAGCACGAGATCGAGGCACGCAATCTGCAAAGCAATCAGTATCTCGACAACGAACCACTGTATGACCGGATAGCGTTCGCGCAGATACCAGTGCACATGAAGAGCCCTCGCATGCTAGTTATCACACTGGGCGTGTTCGCGGCGTTCAGCGGCATGCTGAGTGGGTTAGACCAGTCGGTGATCTCGGGCGCGCTGCCTGGTATCCGCAAGCATTTCATCGCGTCAGGCGAGTGGGCGAGCATGGACGACCCGAAACTGGCGACCGACATTTCACTGATTTCTTCACTGATGCCGCTGGGCGCAATGGCCGGCGCGCTCATCATGACGCCGTTGAACTTCTACTTTGGACGCCGCAACTCGATTATTATCTCGTGTTTGTGGTACACACTGGGCAGTGGACTGTGTGCAGGCTCCCGTAGTGTGGGGATGCTGTTTGCGGGCCGATTCATTCTGGGCATCGGTATCGGAATCGAAGGCGGCTGTGTCGGTATCTACATCTCCGAGTGTGTGCCGCCAGAGGTGCGTGGCAACCTGGTGTCGGTATACCAGCTGATGATCGCATTCGGAGAGATCATCGGATACGCCGCCGGCGGCGTTTTCTTTGACATCCCATCAGGCAGCTGGCGCTGGATGCTGGGCTCGTCTCTCTTGTTTTCGACGATCCTCCTGGTTGGGATGGCCTTCCTGCCAGAATCACCACGCTGGCTGGCATCCAAGGGCAAGTACGGGCGTGCGTGGCGGGTGTGGAAGTCGCTGCGCGACATGGCCGACCCAAAGAGCCTGGACGAGTACCTTGCGATGGAACTTACAGTCAAACATGAGGTCGACCAGTCCGCGAACGAGAAATGGCATCAGAGGTATCTGGAGGTGTGCAGGACGCCGCGCAACCGACGGGCGCTTGTATATGCCACGGCTATGATATTTTTTGGGCAGATGACGGGCATCAATGCGGTGATGTACAATATGTCAAACTTGATGGCCAAGATGAACTTTGATGACCGCGAGTCAGTGCTGATGTCGATGGTGGGCGGTGGCGCGTTGTTCCTGGGAACAATTCCTGCTGTGTTCACGATGGACAAGTTTGGGCGCCGGGTGTGGGCGCAAAACATCCTGATGTTCATCGTGGGTCTGGCTCTGGTGGGCGTCGGCTACCTATACACGAACAATGGTGTTGATTATTTCAATGAGCATAAGGCAACGGCCTTGGGGTTGTTTTTCTCCGGTCTGGTGCTGTACATGGCGTTCTTCGGGGCATATTCGTGCCTGACCTGGGTAGTGCCAGCAGAGAGCTTTGGTTTTAGCACCCGCAGCCAGGGCATGGCGATCTGCTCTGTATTCCTTTATCTGTGGTCATTCATTGTGACATACAACTTCGAAGGGATGCAGAAAGCGATGACCTACACCGGCCTGACAATCGGTTTCTTCGGCGGCTTGGCCGCGCTAGGCTTCTTTTACCAGCTGTTCTTTATGCCCGAGACCAAAGACAAAACATTGGAGGAGATCGACGAGTTGTTTCTAATGCCGACAAGTAAGCTGGTTGCGCTGAACACAAGCAATCTGCTTAAGCCCTTCCGGCGGCGATACCGGCCAGAGCAGGTCGACAACTACAACCCCTGAATAGTTCTTCTTTTCACCTACCAGACCAACGTTCATGGTACCAATAGAGAGCGACAAGGTTACTCAAGTTGAATGTAATGAAATCATGAGGACTAATACATTGCTGCCATTGCATAACACATGTTGTTCCAATCAAAGAGGAAGCAACAGCGTAGAGCGAGATTCTGCTTATCTGATAAACATGTTTTCCACCTACTACCTTCCATGCGAAGCCTATCATCTGATCATGATTTGACTTCTGATTTTCTTTTTTTTATAAACCTGATATAAGAAGTATCAACGCTCAAAGTCCCAACAGCAAGTTTGGCCGGTCCCTGATAAAAGTCTCAACGCTGTTTCTGTAGCCGCACTTCACCCGCAGGCCTCTTGTGAAGCGGAATGCCTAGCTAAATACTTGTTCAGTATTAGCGGCAACCAATCAACCGATCACAGTGATGGCCATGGGATGTTCATCGAAATTGGCAACAGAACATATGATAGACTGAGGAGTTGATGCCGGTACCAAATAATAAGAATGTCCGAAGGGGCAAAACTGATTGAATAAACAAGTCGGTATACAGTTCACATGGGGCAACGGATCAGATCGCGATTGAAATAATAAGTCATGGTTGAAACGGTTCTTATTTTATTTAAACTGTAAAACACAACAGATTACACAGGTTCAGCCAAGGGACATGTTCTAGATTATATTATACATGAAACATATTACAGCTATCTACTGTGTGTAACTTGTTGAGCACGGACATATTTCTCTTAATAATACAGAAGGGATAAAGCGGCTTTGTCCAGAATTGAAGGATATATATATTTTATATGATGGGGAGCTTTTGGAGAAGAAGAGTAGGATTATATTAAGGATGCTTCTTACTTATACTGGTTTGTTAATATCATCTATACCGCGAAAACTATCTAATAGTTACAGGAGTGTGTGAAGGGAAGGATGCTGATAGTGATAGTATAACTAGCTTAGGATACTTGTTTTTGAATCACGCCTTACAGGACTACCATCAACAAGCAGGGTATGATAAGTTGTAGGGCTGTTTTGTAGACTTCATATAACTATTGGTTAAACAACCGGGGAACAGTTCGAGTATGGTGTATTTCTTCTCTTTATTTCTTCTTTCTTTTCTCTTCTTTATTTTTTCCGTTTTTACTTCTTTCTTTTTGACCTCTTAGGCACTGCAAGATAAATGTATTTCTATCATCCTGCACGTCCCTAATGATATTATTCAGATTAGCATGGACTGGGCTGGTATTGTCCTCAAACAGCTGACAGGCCAGAGACTGGACCACTAATATGGAAGAGGAAATTTTTCATCCGACTAAATCAACTAAAACTTTGATGACTCTATTGATAGGATTGAAGGCTAAGTTAGAATACATACATTAACAGATACTTGATGGCAGGATTATAATAAGGGATCACCTACTCCACAAGAATTAACAGTGATACAGACAGAAACAGATATTAAATCATTCTTTCATAGTAATAGCACTAGATACTTCTATACTGCTTCAAATTATACTTATATCTTACTTCTCATTCCTTTTTTTCTACTTTAATTTTTCCATGCGCAGCATGCCTTCCTACCTACCTTGCGTCCTTGCCTGTTACGAGGAAAGTGAAGAATATAAATATACTAAGACTCTTGTAATTTATCTTTAACAGAAGAATGTAAGTTATATAGTAGGTCTGTATTATTTCAATATATATTAGAATAATATATAAAGTGGTATTAAGGGTTTCAGTATAGGCACTTACATCTAATATTAGACTCAACAGATCTATATTTCTCCGGGCATATCTAATAAAGTTAATTTATTATTTATACAGAGCTCTGTAGCAATCAAGAAAAGACTATAATCAAGATATAAAAATTAACACAGATATAATATCTGGAAGGAACTCGAGAGCATTGCCATTGAAAACCTCCACGACAAGAGGAATCTAGAACTACATTACTACATTGAGAGGAGGCCGATCAGGTCCAGCCTGAAGCCAAGCGCCAGTCACCCGAAACACAAAGAAGACTGTTCCAGCATGTAAACGCATTTTCTACCGTCCCATCATGCTGTTCGCCCGAGATATCTCATCGAGAATTTCGAAGGCTCAGCTGCATGATCCGAGCTCCGCCATTGAAATCTTGGAAGTCCGCCATGAGTAATAGTTTTCCGTCTAGGATCTTCCCAAGGTGGGTCTTATCAATTTCCTGCCCGTCCTTCCGTATCTGTGACAGGAACACCTTGAGAAACCTGAGGGGGCTTTGGGTGAACTTGGCTCCTGCCTGTTGATTCTCCACAATGAACCCATCCGCGGCGACAACCAAGCCCTCTGGTGCGGCAGTAAACGCAACTCCCAGAAAGCGGCATATCTCACAATACTCGTTGTACGACGAAATATAGAGCTGGCCCGCAAAGAGGTTCAGTTGAATGCGTAGGCTCTCAGGGACTCGCAGGGGTCTTGTGCTTAAATGTTTCGGAATCGTGTACAGGTCGAGCTTATCGATAGGATACGAACTCTGGTTCTGCCGAGGTGCGTATACATGCAGCGTTACTGCGCTAGACCCGCGAATGTCAGCATGAAGCTTGTCCGCTTCATACGGGCTGATGATCATCATGTGCCCTACGGGCGTTCCGTCCTCGGAGGGATGGCCGGTGCTCATCAGGACCCATTCCACCGCACGCTGATAACTGTCCCGGGGAGATGATCTAGGCAGTCGGACTGTTCTCGCAAAATCAATGGTGACAAGGAGCTCCGATGGGAACTGGGCCACATCCAGGTATCTTTCCGCTGATGTATCTTTTAACACCATAAAAGCTGGTGTCACGGCGGCGGATGATGCATCCAGGTGTCCAGTTTTCACGAACGAGAGTATATCAGGATGCACAGAATGCGGTTCCGGTTCGGCAGGAGCCGGGCGTTGAACTTGTCGTTCCTGCTCAATCTCTGGTGCTAGTTCTCGCTCCTGCTCTTCCTGGAGTTGCGCTGCAGAGAACTTCACAGTTGCAAACTCACGGCATCGGTCCAGTATGCGCCGCGAGTCCGCATCCTCAGGGCATTGGGAAGAAAGAGAAAGGACATTATTACAACCGGGTCTGTACCGCCGTTCAAGGGACTGGGATTCCGGTTCCAGAAAACCCTCTGCTTGAGATGTTGATATCGAGGTTTGCCCGTCCTGTCGCAAGACCAGCCACTGACGGGCCTGGGCCTGATATCGGTTTCCCTGCACTGCCCACAAAGGTATGCTGCGTTGCATATCGTCCCAGGTCTCTGAAATTGCCCAGCAAAGCACGTCTTCTACGGTAAGTTCAGATTCGTGGGTCCTCCCACAGAGGGTCAGAATTTTGAACTTGATCTCTTCAGGTATGCAAAACACTACCGATTGTCCTTTCCCTAAATTTCTCATCCTCATGCATGCTGTGAATAGCTGTTAGTGAGAAGTGCATCTGACTGTTGCAGCGGGGGTCCCTGACCTTGAACCAGCTTGTCTTTTGTAATATTCGGTCCCAGCGTCACCGCCGCCCGGTAATTCAGGGGTAGCTTTAGATCAATCCCTCTGGTATGTGCTTCGTCAAGGAACACAAGGCATAGATCGAGGTGCCTTTTGAAAGGTGACGTCTGCAGCGGTTCGACGAGTCCGGTCCGATCTACCACGGCGATATCGTCGTCGTCGTTGATAAAGACCACAGCATGCGTTCGACCATCATCACTGACCATCTCCAACCAGGTCTTCGCAACATCCAGGTTACTCAGCTCTAGTATGCGAGCTCCAACGTCCAGAATCACGCGTACGGGTGAACCCAGTTCCGCCACCATATCCAGAAGGACCTGCGCATCTGACTTGGACAGGTCATCCCGGGTCGGAATCAGGGCAATGCCAGTCTCGGGTCGAAGAAGATATTCGAGAACTAACGCATTGGTGTGGTTCTGGTCAGGTAGATCCAGCTGCTCTACACTGAGCGGAAGGGTGACGCGGGAATCGTTGGTCCCGCTAAAGCCGACGGTGGGATGGCACTTGACCTCACCGATATCCCATCCGGACGAAGATAATTTACTCGGAAACTCCCTTAGGCCTTTGGTGAAAATAATATGAGCCAGGAAGTAATCGATGGCTCCCTTCGCGAACCGAAGACAGGGGAAAATGCATTCCACGCAATGGAGCCGGTCCTGGAGATTAACGCCCAGCAATTGACGATAGGCCGGGGGGAGAGTCGGGGCATCATCGACCCATATCTGATACTCCGCGTCAGCTTGATCCGATCCGATCAGATGATCGAATGCTCGAAATAGGTCCTCGTCGCGGAGTCCCTCATAGTAATAGCTCAGGCACGTCAGCACAATGACAACATCGGGGTGACTGAATTCCGCCCGTGGTGCTGGATTATCCTTGGCACGATACGGAACTGCCAGCCTTGTGGGGGGTTGTCGGCAGCGATCAAGTCCATAGTTGACTCTCCAGCGTCTTTGTCCCAGGCAAAATGCCAGAACGTTGCCAGCCAGCAGACCCCGGAGTAGTAGCAGAGGATCCCTCGTGCTGTCGTTCCCTAAGCCACACGCATCTGGGGTTTCAACTGCAGCAATCTGCGGTTGTAACGGGTCAGGGTTAAGGCAATAAGCGATCGCCGCGCGTCGTTGTGCTTCTGGCTGCCTGGAAATTGGCAGTTTGTCAATACCGTTATGGAAGATATGATCCGCAATCCGTTCAAACAGCTGATGGACGGCATCCGCTCGGAGCAACCGTATCCTGGGGAAACTTCCTGGATGCGGCTCCTCCACCTCAATTGACCGCGGGAACTGCATCTTGATAACTGGAGCATACTTCTTCACCAGGCCGAGCATCTCTTGGATTAAAGTCCACCTCTGTGGACTGAGCTCCAACGGACGCTGGGTCCCCATCGTATAGATCAGCTCGAACTTCACACTGAAGTTCTCATCGCTTTCATCCACCACGTCTCGGGAGGAGGTCCTGAAGAAATTCAGGATTCTCAGAAGACATACACCAACCG